GTCAAAAACTTAATGACCAAAAAAGGGAAAAAAGTGATAAAGTACAGGTAGTCCTTGACTTATAACAGTTTGCTTAATGACTGTTTGAAGTTACAATAGCATTGAAAAAAGTGCCCCCCAAGCCACAGCCGAACAAGACACCTGCCTGCCCACCCAGCGGCGCTCTTCCTCCTGTTCAAGGTTTTCATTGTTGTGAGCATTTCTGTTGGGGATTGGCAGCGGAGGTGGGGTGGGGGGGTATTTGGTTTTTAATCCCCCCATCTGCTGGTGGTTGCAGCAGGTTTTGGTCATTTCACATGACCCTGGGACACTGTGACCATCATAAATATCCTTACATCATAAATATTCAGTTGCCAAGCATCTGAATGTAAATCACAAGACCCTGGAGAGGCTGCAACATTCCAGCTGATTGGTGCTTCTTCTGGGCTCAGCAGAAGCACCAGGATCAGCACCGATCTTCAGCTGGAGCCTGGCGCTGATCCTGGTGCTTCCACTGAGCCCTGACAGCCCCGAAGAAGCGCCAATCAGCTGGAAAGCGGCACTGATCCTGGTGCTTCTGCTCAGCCCTGACAGCCCTGTAGCTCCAGTTGTCTCTCACTCAGGCTTGTGCGGTGCTACCACCGGTTCAGCTCATTCCCCTCCTCCGCTACCACTTTTCTAGGATGGTCCCATACCACCTGCCAGGTGCCAATGTACCACAGGTGGTACCCATACCACTGGTTGAAAAGCCTTGGTGTAGTGTAGTGCAAGTGTAGTATGAGCATTGGAGAAACACATGCTCTATTATTTTTATGCATTCAGAGATGCAAGGATATTTTGATTCTTAGTGAATATTGACTTGATGGCACACAATAATTATATCGAAACTTTTACTTCCTTGCATGTATTCATCATTTCCACTCTTGATGATATGATCACCTACATTCATACATATCCTTCTTATTTTAATGTAATTTAATAGCTGCATAATATATTTTTCTGTCTTTTGGTTATCAGATCATGCTTTTTTACATTTAGCTTCTCTTACATTCCAAGTCACAATTTCCTATCATTGGATAATCATTGGATGGACCTTAATAATACTAATACCACTACTAATAAAAATAATAATAATAGATATTGAGATATTGGAACACTGCTATCATGTCACCCCTAGTCCTTCTCTTCATTAAACTAGACATACCCAATTCCAGCAACCGTTCTTTATATGTTTAGCCTCCAATCCCTAATCATCTTTGTTGCTCTTCTCTGCACTGGAGTCTCAACCTCTTTTTACATCGTGGTGACCAAAACTTTAGATACTGACTTTTACCACTCATTATGGTTTTGGTCAGTCACGATTTTTGCAAAATGTTTTTAGTAAGAGGAGGTAGAGACTAGGTTACTAGTCTTAAACCGGTGCCACATACACCATTCCTTGGTAATGGTACAGACAACACAGCCAATGTCCAGTTTTGTTTCAACCACAGTCATACCCATCTTCTACCTAGGAATGGTGGCTGCATCTCACCACATAGGAGCTAGATGCAGTATATTGATGCACACTCAACATGTGTCCCCCTCCTACCTTCCAAGTTGGAATAATTTTGGTTTGTTCCTTTTTACCATTCTATAATAATTATATTCCTTATGTTCAAAGATATTTTAACCAAACTGCCCATTTCATTTTCAGTTTTGCTACTTTCCTCTTTTCTACTGATAAAGAGCCTAGATTATTTTACCATTTTGCTTCTTTTCATAAGTAGCAAAATTCTAACAGTATTGGTAGTTACTATGATAAGGATTTTCTGGGTTGGCTAGCATTACATGAAATATAAAGGATGAAACTTGAAAATGCTCTCTCTGTGTGTATATTCAAAAATGTAATATATATATGCGTGTGTGTCTGTGTTACTACATATGTATATACATATACATATATGTTTTCTGAGGTTTTCGCGGGTGTTTGTATGTAGGTCTTTGGTTCGGGTTTTCTCCCGCGTAAAATTGGAAGTGTCTTGGCGACGTTTCGACGAAGTCCCATTCATCATCTTCAGGCTGGTGTTTTCAGTTTTGTGCTTCGAGCAGCAATGTGTGGTCTTAGCTGTTTCTTCCTTTTAACTGCCAGTGGGGGTATGAACTGATTGGGTGGGAGCTAGTAAGATCCTCCATAAACACAACATCAAAACAGCATTCTGCACAAACAGAAAAATATCCACCATCCTTAGAAACCCCAAAGATAAAATTGAATTAGAAAATCAAGGAGTATACGAAATCCCATGCACCACTTGTCCCACCACATACATCGGACAAACCAACAGAAGAATAAGTGCACGCATTGAAGAACATAAGAACTCAGTCAAAAAAGAGGAACCAACATCTTCCCTGGTCCAACACCTTAAAGCCACAGGACATGAAATTGACTTTAAAAATACCAGAACCATTGCCAAAAGTGAACATTTTAATAACAGAATAATCAGAGAAGCCATCGAGATAGAAAAACGCCCACACAGCATGAACAAGCGAGATGATACCTCCCGCCTACCAGCCATTTGGAAACCCGCCCTTATTGACAAACGACTCCCTAACACAAAAAATGATACCAGACCCACACTCACAAAAACCACACAGGATGTCACCACCACACATCCACGCAAAAAACAAACCCAAAGCCACATCGATGATGAGGCACGACCACAAACCAGAAGCCAGACCACAGCTGCATCATTAGCCACTTTAAACCCCTCCAATCCATACATGAAGCAAACTGACACCCTCCATGAAGAGGAGGCACGACCACGAACGCGAAGCCAAAAAATAGCAAGGCAGCCCAAAATCTTAAACCCCTCTGCAACTCAGACTAACCTGAGCACAACCAAACAGAACACTCCCCCAGCCAATCAGAGCACAGCCAACCCCCCAGCCAATCAGAGCACAGCCAAGCCCCTAACCAATCAGAACACACCTCCACCCAATCAGAACACAGCCAAGCTCCCACCCAATCAGTTCATACCCCCACTGGCAGTTAAAAGGAAGAAACAGCTAAGACCACACATTGCTGCTCGAAGCACGAAGCTGAAAATACCAGCCTGAAGATGACGAATGGGACTTCGTCGAAACGTCGCCAAGACACTTCCAATTTTACGCGGGAGAAAACCCGAACAACCAAAGACCTACATATACATATATATATACACATATACTTGAGTCCTTAACAACTAATGAACAAACATCATTATGAATTTGAAATAAATGGGTATATCCTAAACGGCAAAAATTTGGATCTGCATCACTCAAGGGCAGGAGATAAAAACAAATTTCCCTTTCTGTATAGCCCTGTTCAAAACACACAATTCACCTGGAGATTTCTATTATGACTGCTTACAGAAAGGGTAGAGTAAAGGTGATAGGATCATTACAGAGTCAGAAGAAATCATTTTCTATTTTTAAATATTCCCAGAAATGGAAGCGAGAAAAGTCCAATTAAAATAGTACAAAAACTGCACTTTGGTGTAGTTTCTGAAGTTTCTGAAGATTACTTTGTATTCTTCTTTGGTTATGATATTCTTCCATTTCCTATATATGTCCTTTTTCACACATCAATATTTTAGATGAATGTTCATCTGTACACACCAGTCTTATTTCTCATGAGGATTGTTTGTGATTGTGCCTACTTCATAATCTTTCCTATCCTTCAAGATTCCAAGTCATTAGAAACAATTTATCTTCACATGGAGTTAATGAAAATATCTTCTATTGAAGTCCAGTATGCAAGTCTGATTGTTCATCCTCTTCTGGATATACAAATTCAAGGATAATTCAATAACTTTTCTCCAAGGAATCAATTATTTTCACTTTTTCAATGAAATATTCCTTGGTATGGATAAAATTCAGAATAGCAGGTCCAATAGAAGTTGTCAATGAGAGAAGATAAGAATTTGTTGAAACCTCTGCCACTTCACAGAATTAGTTTCCCAGCAGATGTCAGAATATTTAAAATCCCTACTGATCACTACTGCATGCATCTTTGAAAAGTTGGTCATTTGGAGTAGAACCTCAATGGCTGCTTGGTGAAGAATGCAGTGAGAGACATGCTGCCTAGCGAGCCAGCCCACCTGCTAACACATAGAAAGAGGTTGCAGAAGACAGACGAGAAAAATTGAAATAGCTACCATCCTTCAGCTATGCTTAAAAAAATTATTTGTCCAAGGAATGGTCAAGCAATGTAGTGGCAGAGCCAAGACTCACTGCAAGGTAGCTTAAGAGGCAAGGACTATCTGACAAGACCACAGCAGACACTCTACCATTACAGTAAGAGAAAAGGGTTTAGGTCAGTGGTCTTCAAACTTGGCCCTTTTACGACTTGTGGACTTCAACTCCCAGAATTTCTCAGCCAGCGTGCCTGGCTGAGGAATTCTGGGAGTTGAAGTCCATAAGTCATAAAAGGGCCAAGTTTGGAGACCCCTGGTTTAGGTGACTCAAGGAAGCAATAAGAATCCAGCTCAGTCTAAATTAGACAGCTCTTAGGATTTTTTGTGGTGTCAAGTCTTACTGCTCACCTTTGATTTGATCTTTTGCTTTTGACTCTTTTAAACTACTGAACACAAGGGCCCTGTTTCAACAATTTTTTTTAGTCTTGGATCATACAGGTCCTGACACCACCACTGCTGGTGCACTGAATCAAAATGTTACCTTCCTAGGAACAAAGCACTGGCAGCAGGATTCCCTGAAGGAAAAGAAAATGTCCCAAGATCAAAAGGCATCCTTCAGGCAAGATGATTAAACTTTTTCAAAAAGTCTCAACACATAAATTCTTGTATAGAAGGAAACTGTGGAAAGAATAAAAATAGATAGTGGTTTGAGTACAGAGGTGTTTGTAGGAGGGGGAGGGGTGTCAAAAATATCAAGGGGGGGGACATGACTGAATGTATGTGTCACATATATTAAAAAAGAAGTAGGGTTTCAATTGCATGGTTATGGTCACCATCTTGATTTTATTTATCTCTCTCCTCCCCCTCTAGACTGCCTTCGTTTGTAGGTTGAGAGCATTGCATGGCTTAAGAAGAAATTATGTCTTTCAGGAAGAGTGAGATAAATTGGTGAGAACCTTGTTCAAGAGGCAAGATTGCTATTTTTTATTAATTATTATTTTATTTCCAAATGCAATAACTTGCATTAAGATCAGGCTTTCATATTTGCTTGGGTAGTTCTTTTTTGTTTTAACATGCAGTTTATTGATCTGATCTGAATAGATTTATTCAGTAAATGTGGTCTCCATTATATTTCTTTCTATCCATAGTTTTTTTTTCAGCATAAGGAGTCTATGATTACAGAGGTACAATTAAAAAGTGCTGTCACCTTTCAGCACCTCAACGATGGCACTTACAAAATGGCTTGACTTCAAGATCCAACCCATTAGAAGCAGGGCAGTTAATTTGCATTTAACGTGATATCTGAGAATATTCTCAGCAAGAGAAAGGATGTGAACAGTCCTACTACTAAAAGGCTTTTAACTGCAACCATCCTCTGTAACAAAATTACACAGGCAGTAGTTTCCATTTTAATAGCATTCTCCTCCTTGGTAACCTTGTTTTGGTCATGGGCCAATAATTAATAGGCCATGAGTAATGCTCCATTCAGGTTATTCCAGGAAAAGAGAGTGAGGCTAGAAGCCTCTCTTTTCTTTCTCTAAAAAAATAACTCTCTATAAAAAGTCCTCTTTACAATCTCCTTCATGAAGTGCCTTTTGCATTTGCTATGCATACAATATTAAGGATCCAGTCCAATGACAGAAACAATTGTTGGAGAGAGAGTACAGCTTATCAGAAAAAACCAAGCATGGAAAAGTCTGAACCCTCCTATAAAGTAAGGGAACATCAATGGTCACAGTCAACCTTCTTTAATGTGCTGGATCCCATGTTGTTAATTCTCTGAATACTATTGTTGGTAGCACTAGCTTGGTGATTCTGTTAATATTATGGAAGGCATTTCTAGTTTGGAAAGTATTTGTTCTGCATTAACTGAGCCCCTGCTTGGCATACAAATGCTCACAGATTCAGTTCTTTTTTTTAATTTTTTTTTATTGAAAATTTTTAAATATTTTTACAAAAACAAAAAAACAACCCTAACCCACCCACCCCAACCCTCCCTCTCCTCCCCCCCGACCTTCCCAGAGCTGAATATAGGCTTAATTAAAATTTTTAAGAATCTTAAAAAAATTGAAAAAGTATAAATCATGAATATATCTAAATACCTTACATAAACAACTTATAAAGTAATTAACAATAAAATATATGTAAGAAAAAAGCATAAGTATTAAAAAGAAAAAATACTTGAAAGAAAAAGAGATAATAAAAAAAAGAAAAAAGAAAGAAGAAAAGAGATATAAAAAAGTACAATCTATAAAATATTAAAATTTATATACAAATTATTAAAAAGCTAAATGATATTTTTTTATATCCAGTTTATATTGTATAAAATTTATCCATTTTTCCCATACCGCATGGTTCAGTTCTTGATAATGTTGGCAGTCCACGTAGATACTGTAATAAAAGTGTAAAACAAGCTTCCTCTAATCTAGATTGGAATATCCAGTTTTATTGACCACAAATATATATTGTATCCTTGGTAGAATAGATATCCTTAGGAAAGTGTGCTACTTAGAACAGAATTCAGTCCTACAACTGTTCAGAATTTAAATGCCTTTGAACAATGTTTTTTCACCTTGGCAAGTATGGAGAAGAATTCTGGGAGTTGAAGTCTACATATCTTTATCTTGCCAAGGCTGAGAAACACAACCTTTGAATATTACTGAATAGCACTTAAGGGATGATCCCTATTGTCAAGTTTTAAAGAAGCCAAGGTGTTTATTTTAATTCCAAAAACAGCCCTTCCACTCCCTAGCTCCAGGGAAACTTATCCTGAAGAGATGCATTTTAGAAATACAAGAGAAACATAACCCACCATTTTGTGTTTTGTTGAATTCAAATAATATGCATGTTTTGTTGCTGTATAACTAAAAATCCCTACAACTTGTACCCCTTGGACTTCTAAAAAAATGTGATGGCATTTTTTTGGTCAAAAGTTATATAAAAGAGGCTTGCAAACTGATGTAAAAATTGAATGGGCCAGATCAATGAAACTGATATGGATTGAAAATTCAGGCCTCTGCTCAAATTTTACACATGTAATGCTTGCACATATGTAAAATGATGTGGAAGTAAATGTAACAGACTACAATAAATGCCTGCCATTTTTTGAGAAATCTGATTGAATCTTCCATCCCTAGGTATGAATTAAAATGAACTCTCCAATATGACACAATCATACAACGATTTAGGTGGCAACAGAGCAACATAACAGACTGAAGAGAACACAGGAAAAGCCAATAATATGTCCTTTTCTCCTGGAGCAGGTGTTCTGTTTTGGCAAAATCTTTTCATGCGGGAATTCTGCTTAATCAGTAAAGGTGTTTCACATAGCCAAGTGGCCTCTTGTCATAAATTCTGTTAGCTAGAACTCCCTGTTCTGCTTTTCTTTCCCCAAATCAAGCTCAAACATCACCATCCCACCCTAGCATGTACTTTGCATTTGTTTCTCAGCACCCTGTGAATCTGTTTCTTGGTCTGATAAATGCTTTTTCATAGTTATCATCTGGTTCTGCTAAGCATTCCGCCCATCTGTACTTCGTTCCATTAGCAGTACTGTCACTATCAATGAAATGACATGAATACCAGTCTATCATTGCCAGTAGGATTGCTGGAAAACATTAATTAGCCTTCATTTGCATTTGTCACTGCCACTTTTGTAGAGATAAATCTGTCATGGCAAAAACACTTTCACAAACAATTGCTGTTTATGTGATAAGTAGAAGTTCCACTCTGTTCATGCAGCTTTAGGTAGTTAGTGTCAGGGACTTAACAATTTGCAACTGTGTGGACAAACTTTCACTCCCTTCACCTGTTCTGAGCAATCACCAGTAGCTTATCCAGGGTTATTTCAGTGGTCTCTTCCCCTCCATCCTGCCATTTTACACATTGTTTTCAGATATCATCATCTTCATTCCGCTTTGCCAAGCATGCGCCTTTTTTTCAATCTAGTAAAAAAAAAAATCAACCATGCAGCACCCTACAGATTCTAATATGAACAGTTCAGTCAATCACATCATGCAAAAATAGTTCCCAGATAAACTCTGCCAAGATTGTGCACATAGTTATCTTCTGTAGATCTGGATAACTGAAACTACCTTGAGGCGCTTCATCTGGGAAAGTGATTGAATCTGAAAAATATAAGACAATTGGCAAATAATCAACAAAAGCCCAGTTTGATATTCCTATTATTTTTCAGGATTACTTCAGTGAGAAAAAAATAGATATTTTATTTAAAGTGGAAGACTATCCATTAATCTCATGTCAGAATTGCACACATCCTTTTCTTCCATAAATATACAGTAATAGCAGAGGTTTAAAAGAAAAATGCTCTTGCCAAATGAAATATAATAGCCATTTCCCTCTGCTAACCAATTTTCTTCCCCAAAATGCCCTCACTGTTTGTCCCAAGTAGAGATTGAATATATATTTATATGTTATCAAATCTCTTTGGGAAGTACCAAAGATAAAGAGCTGCCATTCATCACATTAATCTCTTTTGAATGTAATGTTTGAAGAAAAATTATAATAGTTATCCACAGAACTATATTAAATTACTATACTGTAAGCTTTCCAGATAGTGGATATCGTAGGTGAACAGGCCCAATTCTGAAGATGGCTTCACAAGAACAAAAACTCCCTGCCCCATTTTATCAACCAGACACATTCCCAAATCCTCACATAACAACATGATGTGAGAGATCTGCAAAAAAAGAAAGAACAACCCTAAAATGAAACAAAGCTGACAAATACCTAGATGGTTTCCTAACCTAGATAACATGCTGGACTGGGACTTGTACACTACTGTGAGTTCCTAGAGAGAAAGCAGGAAATAAAAGTATTTGAAAAATAATAACAAATAAAAATTTGTATCAGTGGGGGAATTCTCAGTTAAGAATGGTGTTCATTAATTAGGGAATTGATAGGAATGGATGTAAGCTGAATTCTTCCGTTTTCCAAGAAATCCAGATATAAAACATCTCTTTGCAACTGTCTTTCTAGGAATCAATCTGGATTATAATATCAACACATGCTAGTATAGCTAGAGATTTCCCTTGAAGCAGGCATATCAGTGAAACTCTAGCTGCAGGCTCTTGAATCTGCACAAAAACGTTAAAATTATACAAATCAGGAGTCCCTGGAATAGAAGGGTTTTTACAAGGGATGTGTACATACATACATTAGGCTCTAAAGCCTAATATGGACAGTCTTTACCATTTGTTTAAAGGGATGATAATTTATGTTTTTTCATATCGTAGCAGGGAAGACTACTTTCTTTTTGTTTATGTCGTCACTTTTTAATGTGCTATTTGTACATTTCAGGCTGGCTGAAGAGCGACATGTTTGAGAGCGAATATTGGATAGATGAAGAACAGGCAGCAGAGAATTGTTTATCTCCATGAAACAATCACACATTCATAATGCATAGCAGGAGAGGCACAGAGGATTGCTGGCAGGTGGGCTGAAACAAGAAGTTAAATACATCTCTACACAAATGCTGGTTTTCTAAACAGTAAATGAACATGCCCAGTTGACTCACCCATGTGTGAGCACAATTATTCTGCTTTCTCAAGCATATGAAAATGATGGTCTCAGGCCTGTAGATGTTAGGCAGCCAAATATCTCCAAGAAGAGCATGTGGTTGGCTTGATGCTGATTATTGCAAAGATTATTGATTTTATAAATGTAAGTGAGCAATCGTCTTCCATTTAATTGTGTCTAATTCTTGGAGACTGCCTGGAAGAAGTCCCTGCAGATTTCTTGACAGGTTTTTCAGAAATGAATTGTCATTGCCTCCTTCCTAGAGCTGAAACTGACTGCCCAAGGTCACCCACTGGTTTCATGACTGTGAACTCATAGTCTCCCAGTTTCTAACCTGATGCCTTAATGACTACACCACTATTTATTTAAAAATGGTTTTTCAAATAACCCACATTTAGCTTGATTTGTGCCAAAAAGCAATTTTAGCATAATGTCCTTCAAATATTAGAGAAGTATTCTCTTTTACAAGCAAAACATTCCTTATTATTTCCTTATTATTATTAGATCCTGTTATGCTCTGATTCAATTTATTTATATCTATTGTCCAGAACAAAATACAGAAGTTAAGATATGGTCTGTGGTTTAACTGATGTGGCAAAAATTGGAAGCATTTCTAGGGGGACCAAAAATGCAGTTTACTTTAATCTTTTGCAACCATATTATATTGCAGAATTTCTTCAATAAGCATGCTTTGATGTGGAATTAGAATGTGTTGCCTGCCCATTATTGACATGGTTTCTTGTATGGTAAACAAGCACTGGGCAATCTATGAAGGGTTATAACTTTCTAAAACATGCATTGCAAAGTATACCCACGATAAGAAAATACCTATGTGTAATTCTCCCACTCCTTCAAATTAGAAATCTGTAATATGTGTAAATCATCAATGCTGCCTGTTCTAGTCAGGCCATAAGCAGAACAAAACCTAGAAGCACTCTCGCTGAGCAGATGTAGCAATGAGACACAGGCAGCATGTTTTAGATAACAGATGCTGATTCAGCAGGCAGCTGTTTCTTTGATCTTGGCTACAGCCCAAAGGGCTGGCATGCTGAGTATTTCAGTTCAGCTTCTCAGTTGAAGACAACCAACAATGGACTAAACTCTTGAAGCCAACATCCTTAGCTCCCTAGACTTTATGATTATGATGGGCTCATTACTAGGCAGTGTTTTAGAAAAAAAAATAATTATCCTGGATGTTTGGAGAAATGATGCTGTTTCAATTCCAGTTTCTTCCTCGATGACTTTAAGACCTAACATAAAGGCCAGGATGGGTTATTTCATGTTCTTGCTCCAGGCAATGCCTGAACCATATCTTGGGTAGCCTGGAAAAATATGGGACCCTATTTAACCTCTACAAAATATGGCCGAAGTCATTAGGTAGCTGTTACCATCACTGCATTCAAACAACATTAAGAATTGGAAAGAACATGGAGACAACCAGCTTTGGTAGCAAGTCATCATTTCCAACTCAACTTTCCTCATTTGATGATGCTTTGAAAAACATCTTGAATTCCTGAAGGAAAAGTGGGATGTAAAATAAAATAATAAATACAAATTAAAAAAATAAACCAATGTGCACTAATTAAATGAATATGAATATGTTTAAAACTTCGATGTGATCTCTCTACAACTAAAATTGAAATTCAATTTTTAATCACAATTCCACACCATGAGTAAAAATGACAAGACCATAAAGAAGATATTTTTCTTTTTTTAAAAAAATCCCTTACTGGGAGAACTGCTGACCTTTTACTTTGTTCATCAACCCCAGTTCAAACTGTTTTTATTTGCTATTGTATCACTAAGGAGCTCACTGCTGAATTATGTTTTTTGTTGCTGTCAGAAATGATGAAAGTATTGTTTTGTACTAAAAAGTCAAAGTGTCAGTTTGGGCATATTGAAGTTATAGCTAAAAAGTGACTCATGCAGTTGATTTAAAAAAGATTTAAATCTCTTGCAACTAGCAAAAGTGGTGTGCCATGCTGGTCCCTCTTCTCACCCCTCGGGAGACTCCGAAGGATGGGGTGTTCTCTTCTCCTGACATCTGTAGTTGTTTTCCTTATCCCAAATATATGAGTGGACTGATTACAAACGGGGTCAGCAGAGCTACTTTTCTCCAGACTTTTTACAAGAAAAGATTGCACTTTGCCTAATATGGCCTGCTTGATGTACCCTTTGCTTACAAGTATAATTTTAAACAGAAGGTTCATGCTTTCTACCTCCCTCTTTCTACAAGCTGGTTCATTTCATCAAGAAGAAAATGTGACATTAACTCTTTCTTGAGTTGTTTAGTTCTTAAATGATTAAAATAGCATGATCTGCAGTTTTTCCATTGTTTCCTGCAGTCTGCAGATGAATGGATTTAACCCAGAGTCAACATCCTTGTTGCTTTTTAAGTACTGGTTAAAAATGTTTTTATTTACTATATTTTGAATTTTGAGTATAATTCATATATGAATTCAAACCATGTATGATTACTTTTAGAGCACCAAAAGTTTATAGGCAAATTGTTGAGTCTATAGACACTGAAAGAGCCAGCTTGCTCCCTGAGTGACTGAACTTGCGAGAGCAAAACCACATCTGTAAGTTCTGAGCCTGATGCCCACATCCTTATTGGCCATGAGTGTTCATGAGGAAAGGGAAATGACAATACATGTGCACTTAAATGACAGTTTATGTACTTGCATCAGATTCCTAACACAAATACATTAAGGTGTATGATGATGTCAAGTCACATTTTTCATTATATTATTATGGATTTTAATACATGTCTATAGTATTGGCCATGCAGTCATACATATATCACTGAGCAAAAGCAACCTTACTGACCAGTAAGCTATGTCAAGTTTTTTAGTAGATTCAAAGCTCAGACAAAACACTAAGCCCAAACTGGACTACAGCCGAAACTTTAATGTCAATTGGATATGCAGAATTTTAAAATATATGGGATATGTGTGTAGATTATGAACTATTTGCTTATAACATTCAGAAGTTTGACAGTGAAAACAAGTACAGCTCAGTGGCAGAGCATGTGTTTTGGACAGGTCCATGCATTAGTATTGTCCTATCTCAAGAAATCTCAGGCAAACGAACTGTGGAAAGCTTTAAGACCTGGAGAGTGACTGTCATTCAGAGATGGACAATTAAATAGTTGTACTGTTAGAAGTGTGGTTTCCTAATTTTCTTGGATATAAAAAAAGAGCATGGCTCAAGGGAAAAAAGAGAGGGGGGAGATAGAAAAGGAAAGCTATGGCTGGGGGGGGGGAACTAGCAATTTCAAATAAATTGCCTAAAACAAAAACCCTTAGATCACTTGCTATGTATTTTAATGTTGCTAAGGTCATCACCACTATATACAATTTCCAACTTTTTCTGGGGGGTGGGCTATTAAGCAGGCTAGATTCCACTTTTTTCCTTTATGCATAAAAGTTGTTGCATTCCAGAAAGTCATCTTTCACACCAAACATGTATAGCAACACAGAGACAATAGTTCTCTTTCTGACCCTTCCTGTGCTGACTGCACAGCACAGGAAACCGACTTTTAGCTCCAGCCGCTACGATCTCTGTGCTTTGTCTGCTGCTAGAATCCTGTAGGAAAAACTGTAGAAAAGTCCTGCTTCTCCCAGTGGATTTCTTGCATGAGTCTTCCTGGAATCAGCAGAGATCACTGAGAGGTCAGTGCTGTGTGCCACAGCATACAAAAATGATACCTGTCATCAGAAGGCTTGAGAGCTTCTGAAAGTAGGTAAGGAAAGTATAATGAATGTACCAATCACATTTATCTAAGAGGAACTGGGGTTCAGGCATCCCACTAATCCATGACTTGCGTAATCATATTGTAATAAGATGACCAAAATGGCCAAACAGCCTGCATGCATGCCTTGGTTTTCTGGAAGGGAAGGGAAGGAAAGGAACTGGTCCTTATAAAGAGGAACACGACTGTCTTGCTTTTGGTGGGAGGGACTGTTTGATGGTGGAGGGAAGGCTGTTTCAGTGAAGATGCCAAATAATAAGTATGCACAGCTATGGCAGCAGAGCCACAGTGCCACTACTCTGTGGCAGAGTTTAGGGATAGGGAGTGGTGGCAAAACGAGAGGAGTCCACTGTAGAGAGCACTGTCAGCCATGGAGCAGTTGTGGAACCAGCAAGCAGAGACATGGTAGAGCAGTAGCCCAGCTAATATGAGTTGCTGAGCAAGGAAGTGCCAACAGCCCAGATGCTAGCACTTCCCTCCCCCCCCCATATTATTCCACAGCCATCTAGACAAACCCATCATCAGAGACAGGAGAAGTGCTTGCATGTGACCAAAGACAGTGAGGATTAGCCAAAGGATGCTACGATTTCAGTGGCTGCCAGTAACAAAAGACAATTAGGGCAGGGGAGGTTGGCAGTACTTAGGATTGGGGTGAGGGAAAGAAAGGGCCATGAACTCTTCCCTATCCCTTAGTTGAAACATTAGTCAGGCAGGCTAAATTACTGATAAAGGCCAATTGGTGGCTGCAGGAGCTGGTTGACGGCAAAAAAGGAAGGGAAAATGACAAAGAGAAAGATAATAGGAGAAGTGGAAGATAAAAACTGATAACAGACAATAAGTATAAAAGTGAAGTAGATTACTATAGAAATAGGAAATAGAACAATAGGAAATTGGGAAATAAGTATAAGCGCTAAGTGAGATAAAATAGCAAAACAAAGACAGCCCAATTCTCTTCTACCTCTAAAAATTCCCCATAGGAAGGGGGACCCTGGAGCTTACAAAAGTAAAGATGTCCACTACAATCATGAATTAGAAAGCATGTAAAAAGGTGCCATGATTGTGGGCCAGCTTAAGTTTTTGGGCACAACCACAATCTGCAGACATCCTTGGGAGAAGACAAGGTACATGCTGAACTGACTCATATATGTATCTCCTATATTGCATTACTGTCTGGTGTGGAAGCATTGCTGTGCAGAGAGTGCTGAGGATGGCAGAAAAGATTATTGGTATTCACTTCCTTCTGTCCAGGACATAGCATATAAGCACTGCTTGAGCAGGATACGCAGGATTGTCTGGGATACTATACATCCTCTTTATGACCTGTTTTCCTTGTTACCTTCTGAGAGGAGGCTTTGTGGTATCTGAAGCAGAACATCCAGATTCAGTCAAGTTTTGTTCCATATGGCA